TCTATAAGCAATCTTGGCCATCCATTTCTAGACGCCACCCGGAGTGCCTCTGGGGCCACTAGCAATGGTGGCAGAGTCATCATTAGGTAGCATTAAATGCATCATCCAAAATTAAATGCTGCCTTAATTGCCATCTAATCCAGTTAATTGCTTTCAAATCACGATGGCTGGATGGGGTACAAGTGCCTTAGAAGCTAGGCGCCACTGGCAGTAGTGCCTGCGCCATTCAAACTTGCTCCACAAGTAAAAATACCATTGTGTCATGTTTTGAGTGGCTGACCGTACAGGGGATCAGGATGCGTCGCTGCTTGAAGCCCCTCTGACGGCATTCTGAGTGGCAACAATGTCAGACAAGAATTTTGGCATGTCATATGGTCGACAGTTAAGTAGATGTTTCCTCGACCAACCAAAAGTCATAGGTAAGTCCATATGTACACTAGGGGACACGTCGATATGTACTGAAAGGTGTCAGTGTGTACTGACAAGCATAATCACACAACTTTAAGTCACTTCCATCAAACCACCGTCGTTTTGGGTACTTTTGGCCTAACGGTAGTCTAAGGGGTGCCGACACTACTGTGATTGGCGTCGGGCCCTTCTCTCTTTATTTTGGTTGTTGTTTCCTTCTTTTGTGGGCTTTCACCTTTCTATCACCATTGGAAGTGTCCCTGGTATCATTTTGGAGTGGCGTCTTGTCCATGTGCTTCCGGATTGTTCGTCAATTGACTTTCTCGATGCCAGTTCTGACTTATCTCGCTTTTCAAGCTCCTTTAGCTTTGCTTAAGTGTTCGGAGGGGGCGATGGAGGCTAGTTTACGATTAGGTTAAGGTGAGTATGAGTGGTTCAAGTATCGAGGTGGCATTCCCAGGGTATTTTGGTCTTTAGTGGTTTTCTCGATCGAGATCAAGGGGTTTACAAAGGGGCTACAGATGCCCCTCTTTGACGTCTGTGTCGCAAGCGAGCAAAGGGACACAAGGCGAGAAAGAAGTAGCCACTTAAGTGGTGAGGAATTGAAACATCGTAGTTCCTCATAAGCCTTACCTCGTAAGACCATGGTGGATGTAAGTTTCGCTAAGAACCTAGAGGTTAGCTTAGCCAATAGTTCGGGGTAGTCGCAGGTAGGTTTCCCTTCGTTTGTAGATTGAAAGTTGACGTGTTAGTATCCCGAGGAAGTCCAAGTTTAAATATCTGAGCGGAATGCTTTAGATGAGAATGCGGAGAAATCTCGATTAAGTGAGCCATAGTTGACCTCGTGCCCTAGTTGTGTTCCTAGGCTTTAAGGCTATAAATTTTTTGGAAATTGGGTGGTTTTTTCTTTTTGTTTTCTAGCTTTAATGGGGATAAAAGGTAGTGTAGTATTCACTTGCAGTCGTCTTTACCGTTTTGAACCGGATGACTATATATGCTTTCTGATCATCATTATCGGGGTTGTTCCGACTCTTTTGTTTTTTAAAGCATTTTTAGGAGATTGTTTTGAAATCAAATGGGAGAGATGTTTTTTAATCAGTTACTAATGTCGGGTTAAAATGAAAGCACAAGACAATTTGTGAAATTCCTTGAACCGAGTCACACCAGTATTAGGGTTGTTTAAAAGAGGGGTAGGGTTCGCACCATCATGGGGTTTGTGCGCCATAGTGGGGATGTTTATATTTTCTTAAAAATATGTTTTAGAAATATGGATGGTCCCAAAGTTTAGGCACATTTGGCCGAGGAGCCAACCGGACAATTTAATGTCATGCAGTGATGGATGTGACCGAATGGTTTAACACCATGTGGTTGGTAGACATGACCAAGCAGCTTAACGTGGTGCAGTAATGGACACTTTTAACTGCCTCAAATAGGTATTGCCAAAATCCCTATTGGGGAGGGCTGATTACTGAGCTTATGTCGCTAATTTCACTTGTTGTTGGGTCGGCATATGTTCAAATCAGATTCGTGAGATGATGTTTTAAGGCCTTTAGCTTTTAGCGCCATTGTCAATGGCTCCAGTGCCCTTTGAACTATCTCCAAACTGTGGAGGGTATTTTAGTCATTTTGATGACATGAGGCCCAAAGGGAATCATCCTCCTTGGTCAAAAAATATTTCGCTCAAATTAATGGGAGGTGTTTTGATCCCTTAGGCTTTGTTCATGACGTGGCTGTTTGCAGTCTGTGGCGCCATTGACAGTAGCACTAGAGCCATTGCGAATGACAATTCCCTGCGTCGGGCAGGGTTATATAATGGGTGACCCATAGAAGCCTATGAGGTCAATTTCTAAGGGCATTCATCCTTGGAAACCTCTGTTATTGCTGGTTAGACATGACTTGCTAGTGCTTTTGGCATCCGTACCTCCGGATAGTCTTTCCAATGGCGTTGGTTATGTGTTCTTTTCATATGAATGATAGACCCAAGAGATCCCAACTTTTCATCCTAAATCTCCTCTCTTTGTGTGCATCCTTTTATACTTGGTTTGAATTTATGAGCAAATGTCGTGACGCTGTTATCTTATCCCATGAGAAAGACGTTCCATCTTATACTCATGAACAACATTTTCCATATAACGTTCCTAACCACTTGTTCCATGATCTGGTGGTCGGGGATTGTCCTCAACGTGTCCGGCATTATCCTTCTCTTCTTGTATGGTTCTATGAGTGGTTTGACTCTACCCGAGATTGGGTGGAACTGGCCGTTTCACTTTCAGTCCTCTCTGTGACAAGAATCTTTTGTATGGTTGGTTCTCATGTTAATTTCAACTTGTTGGAGGCCTTGGCTGAGTGTTTTAACCCACTCACCAATACCTTCTTCATTCCGATTGGTAAGTCACCATTGCTTTGGAGAATTGGCCTGCATTTTGGGTCTTTGCCTTACTGAAAACATTTACGACCCCCCGATTGGGAATGACGATCATACGCCCACGGGTCGCCATTTCTTGGATGTCTGTCTCGCACCTTGGGTTGAGTGGGTTGACTTGGAAGCTTTGGTTCGAACCCAAGCTAGGGCTAGCTTCAAATGCAGTATCAAGACCTTTTATTTTTGTCTCATCAGTCGCATCTTGTTTCCTATTGATCGTCAAACTGTCCCTTCCTCCTTAATCCCTCTGGCGGCTACCTATTAGGATAGTCCTAAGAATACTATAGTTCATGTGGTCTTGGCTGGTATTTTTCATGGGTCTCATGACCGAGTTGTGGAGAGGAGCCGATGCCTATAAGGAGGAATGTTGTTCATCCTGGCATATCTTCTCTCCATATTCCTCTTTTCATTCCCTTTTCCTCTTGCCGCTTAGCTCCTTATTTCTTTGATCAGGTGTGAGCTTATGAGCATATTGTAGTTTTCCGGTCTGTGCGGGCTCATCTTAACGAGATGGAGAAAAGAGGTTTGGCATATAAGGATGATGAGGTCAAGCCCCTACCAGTGGATGAATACCAAAAGGCATATGATACTCTTACCGAGTTTGTGTGGTGCCTTCGAGGCATGGAGGATGAAATATTTACCCACCCTTCGAATGGTCATGGTCATCTTACCTTGCCTGGCCTGAGCTTTTGCGAGGGCTATTTTCCTTATAGGGTGCTTCACAATTTTAGATTCACTCAAGGGTACTTTGGTAATTATGGTGACTTTGATCGGCGTCCCTTTTATCATATAGTACGTCATTCTCACGAAGTTCTTCTGCAAACCACTTTCACAAATCCCTATTCTCTGAGAGTACTGTGGTGAGAACTCATCCATCAAATATCAAATATGGTGAGGCCATCAAGGCTTAACAGTGCTGCTTGAGTACACTTCTTGTATTTGGACTAACTGATCGAGGGTGTTCCTTACTCACTGAATGGAGTTTGGATGTGAATGAAATAAGTGTCTTTTATTAGCACCTGAAACCCCTCTAAACCCATTTTCAATAAAAGAAAATGGATCTGGCTTTCTATTTTGTGTACTCTCTAGTTATCTTATGAGAGTTTGTTTGTTTCCTTTCAAATTTTGAGGACACATTTTGGGTGATCAGGGTTATTCAGATGACCTTCACGGGGATGGAGAAAGAGAGAGAACTCGTTTAGAGAGAAGCATGGGGAGAGAAAGACACAACAAAGAGAATAAAGAAGAGAGCTAGCTTTAGGTAGAGGGGGAGTGAGCTTGAGTGAGAGAGGTAGAGGGATAGAGTGGGAGAGGTTGGAGAGAGGCAGAGAGGGGTAGTAAGGGAGGGAATGCAGGTTTGAATATTTTTAGTGTGGTATAAAGTCTATAAGGGGGTTCATAGTTTTTAGCTCCAAACCAGTTGAAACTTCGGTTCGAAACTAGCCATCCCTAGATGCTTAGAGATTACAAGGATGTTAGTTTGGAACTAATAGTTCTAAATCACAATTCCCCCCCAAAATTGACAACTCCGAATGGGTACAAAAGGAGGGATTGTTAACTCTAGACTAACATTCAATTGGAATAAATAGTTCTAAGATATTTTATAATATAATAAAAAATATATGGTAAATTTTTTTAATTATGCAAAATAAGGAGGGGTTGGTGTAAATTTCCCTTTATCTATGTATAAGTTGCTACGGTCCTATATTAAATTAAAGACCTCTATGCAATAAATTTGAATCTTAGATAGGTGAACGTAGGGCCTAATTCCACCCATAAAGACCTATGCCAAGATGGCCCTCACAAAATAATTAATTCTCTTGCTTGCTGGCCAAGTGGCCAAATACCTATAAGAGATCAACCATTTAACATCTTACCCCTTTATTAACTATTTTAAGTCATGATGATTTATAACATCTTAAAATTAAATCAATATATAGGGGTCGAATGTTAAAAATACAGTTCATCTCTTACGAGTGTAAATAAATTTTGGGGGAATTCAATGTAAAAGCCAACCCTAATCTCAAAAGTTCCACAAAATACATTTTCTCTATACGCACCGTATATAATACCGTATATGTAAAATTTGTTAATTATGTTCCTTTATGAGGCCCCGATTTTGTACCCTCCCATTCGGTTGCCCGATAAATAGCCAAGGGTAACCCGAAAACAGAAGGAAACCAATTCCCTCGTTTCTTTTTATTTCTTTTCTCCCTCTTTCCAAAGAGATAGCGAACAGAAAGAGAGAGAGACAGCGGATAATAACACACCCTGTAATACCCTACTGTCAATCGCAGAAGCTTTTCTTAACTTTAATGGTGCATTCCAAACTTTATTTGCTCTCGTATTGTTCAGTTTTTGGTTGCAGGTGAAGCTTCGTTCTTCTTTGATCCGTTCCTTTAAAAGCCCTATCGATAGCTGTAAGTTTGTTCCTTTCTCGCTCAATTTTTTTTTCCATTCGGTATTGGAGGTTGGGACCCTAGGGTTTCGAGTTTGAGGTCGAGTATTTCTGTCTCTGCAGTTCATTTGAATTACTGGGAGCTCTGGTTCAAAACCCTACATTGCCAAATTCCCATATTTTCTTGCACTTTCGTGGGGTTTTTACCTGTTCTGTTTCCCTTTTTTCTTAGGGTTTTTTCTTGTTTCTATCGATCTGGACTCTCATTCCAGTATGAGCATCGACACCCCTAAAAGGGGGGTTAACTAGATCAAGCCAGTTTTGAGTTTCCATGGGCGATGGAGGAGTTGCTCTTGTGGCGTCACAGTATGTCATGGAACGCTTTCCTACATGCCATGGTTTGCACTCGTATGATAAGAGCCCTAAATGCCACCTCCAGAGAAAACCAGAGAGGGAGATGGAAGTAGAGCAAGGGGAATTAGGGTTTGAGAATTCACACAATTCTGAGCGCTCCCCTGGAATAAGATCGCAAGAAGACACAAAGGGGGGCAGGGCTCATTTTGCAGAGGAGGTGAGCAGAGAAGAATCACCAAGACCTGTTGAATTTCCAAAATTGAGGATTAGTAGTGTTATAGAGAATCCAAGTAATGGAGAATACCAGAGGAACAGCGAGTTATCAAGAACTGGAACCAAAGGTAGTGATGATTTTGCAGAAGAAGCAGGTGAGTGCGATTACTCGAGAAGCAGAGGTAGCTCGAGTGAGCGTCATAAGAGGAACTCGAGGTGGGACACTTCAAGATGGGAGCCTTCAAGGTGGGAACCTTTGCAAGAAAGGGTTTCGAATTCAAAGGGAAATTTGGGAAATTGGGGCAAGAGGGAACCTCAAAGTTGTGCTCGGAGGTCCAGAGATGACTATGGTGACTATTCTGTAGATGAGTCTCGACAGAGATCAAAGAGCAGAAGGCGTTCGGATGAATATTACCATTCAGAGAAGTCCCTCTCTCACTCTAGAAACTCCAATTCAAATTCGCGGCAATATCGGGATTCTTCCTATTCTTCTTCGAGGGATTTGTCTAACAGGTATTCAAGGCGTTATGATTCTTCTTCTTCATCTAGGTTCTCTTATGATAAGCACAACCGAAGCCCTAGCTATTTAGACAGGCATAGTAACCGAAGCCCGAGCTATTCAGATAGGTCGCCTCGTGATCGTGGGCGACATCATGACTACAGAGATGGGAATAGAAAAAGTGGGACTGACAAGAGAGATGGTCATTATAGCAGAGATAGCAGAGAAGAAGAGAGATTCTCAAGAAAGGAATCAAATGGTAGGGATTCTCGAAGGTACTCTTCTTCCTCTAGGCATTTGTATGGTAGTCGCAGTGATAAAGCCATTGATGATCAGCACCCAAGTAGCCATAGTGATAGAGTTGCTGAGGACCATTTGGTTAGCAAAAGCGGCGAAAAGAAGGTAGAAGATCAAATGGAAAATTCGAATTTAGATTCAGAGGTGAGGCCTAATGCAGAGCCTCCTAAAGTTGATGGGTTTGTTGAGGAGTTGCAGTCTATGGAAGAGGATATGGATTTGTGCAGTTCGCCTGAATATGCTGTTAATGTGCGGAACCAATCAGGAACTATTGGTTTGGTGGACCAAGGGAAGCCATTTATTCGAGGTTGGTACTACCTTGATCATGTGGGTATTGAACAGGGACCTTCAAAACTGTGTGAGCTGAAACAGCTTGTCGAAGATGGGTTTCTTTCATCTGATCATTTGATAAAGCATTCTGATAGTGATAGATGGGTAACTGTTGAGAATGCTGCGTCTCCGTTGGTGGTTGTAAATTCACATTCTGTTGTTCCTGAGACTGTGACACAGTTGGTGAACCCTCCTGAGGCTCCAGGTAATGCGATGATTGAGGTGGGGGATTTCTTGAAGTCAGTTAATAGAGTTAGCCAGGAATTAGGTGCCTCTTCAGCTGCATTGGAATCTCCTTCTCAATTGGAAGATCTTCGTATTGATGAGAGGGTGGATGCTTTATTGAATGGCTTAGCTGTTGTTCCGGGAAAGGAACTTGAAAGTATTGCAGGTACTTTTCTCACTATCCCTTTTCTTTATCCGTCCCTGAAATCTCATGTTTTCTGCTGTTATTGTTACTATTTTGGTCGCTTTTCTCTTTTCCTTTGAACGTCTTAATGAGCATTTATTTGTCCGGTATTTTTGTTATTGCGATTTAATGCTACCTTTTTTTGGTTCTGGATAACTGGTAACTTGCAGAGGCTTTGCAAACTACTTTTGAGTATGCGGATTGGGAGAAACGGAATCCATCTGAAGGTATGTTTCATGTTTTACATATAAGCAAGCTTTATATTTGCAGTTATAATTTTGGAATGTATCTGTTATTTTATTGCTTTTACAAACTTGTAATTATACTGTTGGGAACATGTCTTTTAATTTGTTATTTTTTCTTACCGCTACCTATTTTCATTATACGTCCCCCCATTACACGCATGAATTATACATCAAAAATGAAATTTGGGTAAGTTCAGAGCTTTTTGGTTGATAATAGCTCTTTACATATATCAGTGATTGACTAGCATAAAAACCTTCCACTTCAATCGTGAAATACAAAGCCTTAACTATCTTTAATGTTGGATTATGGTAGGAATGGTCACAAATTTGAATCATAAATCTTATGTATGTTGGATTCAAAATTATTATGTGATAAAAGTTTCAAGTGATCTAATTTCATGTGTAAGTGATTACATTTTTTCCATAGTAATCTGTATTTTTAGTTTCCGTTTTCTTTAGATTTTTATATTTTCTGTTATTTGTCGTGTTTTCATTTTCTTTCTTTTTTCTAACCCATGTTTTTCCCTTAAGTGGCCCAGATCTTTAAAGTACCTTTCCTCAGCCAAACCAAAATGTGCTCTAGAGGGAATTACTGAGTTGGGCTTGCAGCTCTGATACCTTTACTCAATTGTTGAGGCTTTGGTTGACTCGTGACCCAACTTTGGATAAGCAAAAAAGTGAAAGTATAAATAAGATTCATGAATCATGCAAATGAACAATAGATTTGAAAATGTTGCTAAAATATTACATAATATCTGGTAACTGTATATCTCTAAAATATTTTGCATACAGTAAATGGTTTTAGAAAAGAATTTGTCGAGATTCATGGAGAAATGGAAATAAACTAGCCTGGGCGAATCTATTGTGAGACTTGACTTAAGTTTGGATCGATCTGGTTGACCTGATATACTCGTGAAAGATTTAATCATGATTGTGAATCGTTTTTAAAGCAATTACACAGAGGTGCACATGTTTTTTAGTGCTTGCTTGCATGATGTTGTTTGATATATATTTATACTTTTTATATGTTGTGAATAATTTTCAAAGCAATGATACATGCATATACAGAGGGGCATGTGTTTTTGAGTGCATGATATTGCTTGATATACATATTTACTTTTATTTGTGCATGGATATGTTTGAAATATAGCTTGTTCTTTGCAAATGATTTAAGCAAGGGTGGCTTTCGACATTTGCTAAGGGAAAAATGCGTTAGTACCGCATAAAGCATGGTGGTTGATTTGTTGACATTAACCACAACATGTTTTAATGCTCCCAATTGGGCTGATACCTGAGAAACCCATGCTCTCTGTAGTTTCCTCACATTTGCTCTAGGCAATTGAGGAAAATTATATCCTATACTTTAAGGGTCCGTTTGATGGCACCCTAGTATTCTAATATTCTAGGATAATATAAATCTTATGTAATTCTAATCATATGAGTTTACATGCCCTTTTTGATAGGATCAAATCATAATTTTTAATATTTAGATAACTCCCAAATATCTGAATCTCCAAATATTGAACTTAGCTGAATTTTGTGGGATTTGATTTCTATGCCTAAACTTATTGCGTCTCTCTCCCTCTTTCACCCACTGATCTCCCTCTTTTGTGCCCTCCCCCTTTTGACATCCACCCTCCTCCCTTTCTCTCTCAATCTCAATCTCTCTCTCATGATGGATTGCCCTCTCAATCTCAGTCTCTCTCTCTCTCACGGTGGATCGCCACCCACTCCTTTTCTCAATCTCAATCTCTTTATCTCTCATGGTGGATCGCCACCACCCCTCCCTTTCTCTCTCTCAATCTCTCTCTCTATCTCTCATGGTGGATTGCCCTCTCAATCTCTCTCTCATGGTGGATCACCAAAGAAAGCGTGGTGAATCACAAGAGAAAGAAATCCAACCCCTCTCTCTCTAAACATTAGGGTTTTACTCTTATGCTCATCTGCTCTTCTTCTATCTTTGTTGAAGCTTGAGCTATGAGCTTTAATGGAGGATGGAAAATAAAGTTACCCAGATGTCCAGCTTTTTCATGACCAACATTATAGTGTCTTGGATGATTTCAAGCTTTAGCACGATCCATTTTAAAGACCATTTAAATCTCCATTGTTGAAGACTAAGATCAGATAACTTAGAGATGAAAGAATAAAAAAAAATTTTACTTAAAAATTCTCTCAAAAAAAACTTAGAGATGAAAGACCATTGTTTCTCTTTCAAATATATGTGGGCAGTCAAACAGGCATAAAAAAAATAGAATACGGATAATAGATAATCTTAATATACGGAAACCTAGCAATGCCTTCATTCAAATTTTAGAAAATCTGAATTTTAAAATTCAGTTTTGTCAAACATACCCTAAATTAGAGGGTGGGGTTTTATGTCCAAAATATTTGAAGGATATATTCAAAGCTTACTATATACGATGTGTTTTAAATTTTCAACGGATTTCATCCACAAAAAGTCATCATCATCGTCAAAGCCTTTTCCCAACTAATTGGGGTTGGCTACATGAATCTTGCCATTCTGATTAGCGAATTTTGTGCATGCGTGAATGCCTGTGTTCATTATATAGTTTTGGCATGTCATGAATGCCTCATTGGTATCTGCAGGTTTTATGAGGTTCCGTGACAGTTATATGGAAACATCGAGGCACTATAGGGATGAGGAAAACAATAGGGCTTATGAAAGCTTGCATAAGGAAAGCCCTTTGCTGAGGTTTGGATACCGATCAGGTGTGCTTGGGGAAAAGGAATTTGCACTTCCAAAAATTGACTCCAGCCAATGGTTTACCGGAAGGTGGTCTTGCAAAGGTGGTGACTGGAGGAGGTGCGACGAAATGGCCCATGATCGAAATTTAAAGAGGAAAATAGTGCTTAATGAGGGTTTCCCACTCTGTCAAATGCCAAAATCTGGGTACCAAGATCCTCGTTATCATAGGCATGACGATCTATACCATCCTATGAATTACAAAAAACTTGAGCTTCCTCCCTGGGCTTATTGCTGGTTGGAAGAAAAATTTGATCATCCCCAACCAATGGATGCTGCCTCGGATAGTCATGTTGCTGCTACCATGGGACATGGTTCAATTGTGTCTATTCAGGCTCAATCAGTTAAGACAAGCAATGGTGATTTAAACAAGCAAATGGTTTTTAACCGAGTAACCCAGTACAAAGCTGTGGTAGCAAAAGGTGCTAGAGGATTAACACAATCGGTTGTGAGGAATAACACCCTTGTAGTAAAGATCCATGGTTCTTTTGTTTCAGAGTTGCATGCACGAGCTCATAATAATGAATTTCACTCCTTGAAACCTGAAATGGAGCAGCCTTCTTCTGTATTGGATGGTAAGAGCATGCTTTGTGGTGATGCTTCCCGACCTAAGGATTGGCAACATGACCTGAAAGGCTCGCATGGCCCCACTTCTAGTGATAATGCTCCACCAGCTCATGTTCTTACCAAAGATGAATTGAAGCTGCATTTAGGGGAGTGGCATTACCTGGATGGTGCGGGTCATGAAAGCCATCCAGTGTCTTTCAAAATGCTGCAAGATTTGGTTGCAAATGGCACTATTCAGAGATTTAGCAGTGTTTACAGGAAAAGAGATAATATATGGGTTCCTATAACTGGTCCTGCTCCTCCTGATCCCTCTATTGAAGTATCTGGGGCTCCTATGTCTGTGTTAGAAGCTCGGAAACCAAGCTTGGATAATGATGCTTGTGATAGTGGTGATTTACGACGAGAACAGGTGGTTACAGAGAAGAAATCACCACTCAGTTACTTTCATGCATTGCATCCACAATTTATTGGATATACTCGTGGCAAGCTTCATGAACTTGTAATGAAATCTTATAAGAACAGAGAGTTTGCGGCAGCTGTAAATGAAGTTTTGGATCCATGGATGAATGCAAGGCAGCCAAAGAAGGCTCCTGAAAAATTAATGTCATGCAATTCCTCTACATGGGTTTCTTTGAGCATGAAAAGTGCTATTGCCTCTTCTCTAAACTCAGGTGTTGTATCTATGAAAATGCTTTAGTTTCTTTGGTCTTCTTGGTTCTCTGCATGCTTTATGTTTATCATTTTTGTGGTAGACTGCATTTCTATCTGTCTACTTAGAGTTATTTTGCTATACATTCCAGGCTATGTTGATCCACAATCAGAGTATGGGACTCCCACAAACAAAATGGAAAGTGATTTAGCTAGGACCTCTAAAGACTTCAATCGATTTGGGAAAAGATCTCGGTTGTTAATTGATGAGAGTGAGGAAGAGGATGATACTGCAATGGATTTGGGAAAGTTGCAGAGTGCCAATTATTCATTTGATGATTTATGTGGTGAAACTGCTTTTCCCCAAGAAACCTGTGCCAACATCGCAACTGGGTCGGATGGTTGGGGTCTGCTGAATGGTCACATTTTAGCGAGGATATTCCATTTCTTACGAGCCGATTTTAAGTCACTCGCAGTTTCTGCTGTCACTTGCAAGCAGTGGAATATGGCAGTTAAGTTTTACAAGGATTTATGCGTTCAGGTTGACTTGTCATCCATGGGTCTCAATTGCACTGATTCCATATTCCAATACATAATGGTAGGTTTCGATTCTGTTCAATCCCATTTTCATTTTCTGTTTGTTCTATATAATTATTTTTCCTGTCGTTTACATATTCTCTGGTTTTATTGCATTGGCACATTACAGAGTGGTTACAACAAAGAAAATATTACATCTGTCATTCTGATGGGCTGTATTAAAATTACTGCCCGAACACTCGAAGAAGTTCTGCAATCCTTTCCTTCTATAGAGTTCATAGATAACAGAGGGTGTGATCAGTTCAGAGAGTTGACCACCACTTACCTGAAAGTGAAGTGGAAGAAGAGCCGTGGTTTACATTATGGAAGTGAAACAAAGATTTCTGATGATTCACATCACAAAATAAGGAGCCTTAAACAAATAAATGAGAAAAGCCACAACTATCTCGGAGATACACTTCGTCACAGTCAATACAAGCGCATGAAGCTGATTGGAACTAGAAAAGCTTCACTTTTGGATGAGCTTCGCATGAAGGGATTGTATTCTAGGAAGTCGCCTTCTTTGCCTGGTGGAAGATATAAAAAAATGGAGCATTATCTTTCTCTTCGTTTGAAGGAAATCATGAATGAGAACACTTTTGCATTTTTCATACCGAAGGTAACACTAAAATTCTCCTGCTTTCTCCTTATTTGGGTCCAGGATAAGATTTCCCACAACAAACTCCTCCCGACCTCTCTCTCTCTCACACACACAAGCACACACACCTTTTTTATTTTTTTGCTCTCACGGCTTTTTATATCTTTTGTTCAGGTTGCAGAAATCGAGGATAGGATGCAGAGTGGTTATTATGTTGGCCGTGGCTTGAAACTTCTCAAAGATGATATCGGTCGAATGTGTCGAGATGCCATGAAGTACGTGCTGCTATGTTTGATTTTTTGAGCTTTCATCAAATGCAAATGCATTGGCTATGCTTTTTTAGTTTCACATGTAACTGTTCTCTAGCTTGTTATTTGAAGGTTTCGCTGACATACCGCATTTGGTACAGAGCAAACAATCGAAGCGATGATGGTGAAGATATGACTCACATTATCAAGTTATTTATGAAGTTGGTCACATATCTGGAGGACAACTCTAAGTCATTTTATGGTGGTTCACGGACAGGATTTTTCCCTGCTGCCTCCAACCATAAGAAGAAACACAAGAAGACCATGAAGATTGGAAAATTGAGTAAGAGAAACATCGCTTCTTATGATAATGGCTTCTTCGACTCTGGAGAATATGCATCTGACCGGGATAGCAGGAGGCGGTTGTCTAAGTTAAATAGAAGATCTTTTGATTCTGATACTGAAACATCAGATGAAGCAGAGCTCTCTGAGGAAGTCTCAGGGGATGAGGAGGGTACTTCTTCTGACTCTGATGTTGATACGGGTGTGCATTCTGATAATGAAGATAGAGAATTGAGTGGTGACAGGTATCAGATGGTGGATGAGGTCTTGGAATCGGTAACTGAAGATCGTGAATGGGGTGCTCGAATGACAAAAGCTAGCCTGGTTCCTCCTATCACACGCAAGTATGAAGTCATTGATGAATATGTTGTAATTGCGGATGAAGAGTATGTTCAGAGGAAGATGCGTGTTGCCTTACCTGAGGATTATGAGGAAAAGCTTAATCAACAGAAAAGTGGGGAAGAGGACATGGAAATTCCTGAGGTCAAGGATTATAAACCGAGGAAGAAGCTTGGAGATGAGGTCCTGGAGCAGGAAGTATATGGTATTGATCCTTATACTCATAATCTTCTTTTGGACACTATGCCTGAAGAGCTGGACTGGCCCCTTCTGGAGAGGCACTCATTCATTGAGGAGGTGAAAATTCTGTGTGATTTATTTGTAGCGTGTTATTCTAGTGAGTGTGCTTATGCATGTGAAACTAAGATTTGGAAAGGATTTCAGGTTATTCTGTGTGTTTTGAATAAGCAAGTGAGACACTTCACTGGTACGGGATGCACTCCTATGGAATTTCCTCTGCCGCCAGTGGTTGACGAAATTCTCAAGAATGCTGAAAAGGATGGTGATACACGCATCATGAAGATGGCTGAAGAACTGTTGAAGGCCATGAAAAATCGCCCAGATGACAATTATGTGGCATATAGGAAGGTATGTGTCAACCTTTTGGCTATGCATGTCAGGAGAGGAACTTTATAGGGCCACTTAATTGATTTGAAAACTTCTAGTTATGCTGAATAGTTCAGACACACCTTTTTCTTATTGGTTTCTTAATATTTGTTATTGATTTCAGGGCCTTGGAGTTGTGTGCAATAAGGAGGAAGGTTTTGGGGAAGATGATTTTGTTGTGGAATTCTTGGGGGAGGTATGAACTTGAAAGCAGTTCTTTTTAGCTGGTGGCCATGCATTGGCTGGGGACTTGCTGTTTTGTAATTTGTGAAGAACCTTGGATTCCTGAAATTCTTAAAGTTTCAATCTAGGATTTTTTTGACTAGTATTTTAGGAGAATAATGTCATTTTATGATGTATGAATTGGCATTTTTGTTATCATTATTGTCATGGAGACAATTTATCGCTAGCAAACTAGTATGTAGAATATCTTATGCCTTAATTAACTTTAGAATTTGTATCATATGAAGGGTGCAGTTTGTATAGAGCCTAGGGCTTCAAATAGTGTCCAGAAATGTT